TATAAATCTATCGGTGAGGACGTTTAAAATGTTGGTACAGAACGAAGTGTCCGTTTCCAGGTGGATAACGGGGCTGTTTGTGCTCACGCGTGTCCGTGTGCAGGAGGACCCCCCCTTAAATAAAGCCGGGCTCAGGCAGCAGAGCTGGGCTCAGGCGGCTGCTGAGCTGGGATGATGAGGGCATTTGCAACAGAAGCAATTTGGGGAGACAGGAAAGGGCGGAGGAGGTACGCTGGGTGTTGAAATGTTCCCCTGAGCAGCATCTCTTCTTCAGGCAGCTCAGTCACGGGTGGGAGCCTGGGGGACCACGCTCCACATGGCTGTCCCTGGCTGTTTGTACCTCTGTCTGTGCCTCCATCGGCCTCAGACTGGTTTCAAAAGTGTCTTAAGCCCACTTCAAACCAATGGAACAGGTAGAGGAAGGGCCTGACTGTGAACATATCCCCACGGATTATGTGCAGTGAAGCAGCTGAGAGGGGACAGACCCCATGTGTGTCCCACATGAGGGAAAAGGCAGAAAAATCACACATGTACCAGAAAGCCTGCCCCAGGCAAGAGGTTTTATTAATGCTCCATCCTCGAGAAAAGCATCAGTCAGAGTTTGTGCCTTATTTGACGCCAGAGAACCCAGCCAAAAGACTCGAATCTGAGGGAAGTCAGCTTCTGCTGATCCACTGCTGCTCTGCCTCCCCACTGCGGTACCCCTGAGGCCGAGCTTTGAAAATGACTGCTGTGGTGCTGCTGGGGAAATAAATCGCTTCTTGCTGAAGTTTGAGGTGAATGGCTGTTTTGTTGGGCACGTCATACTCCCAGTGTCCTGGGAGTAAGATACTCAAAAATGTTACCGGTTCAGCTTTTGAGAGGTGCTGCCAGGTGGGGCAGAGTGGGTCCCCTGGTCTGAGCACTCTCCTAGGACTTGGAAGACTTCTTTACAGTTCCTCATCCATCCCAAACTTCTCTTGTTTTCCTCTGCTGTAAGGTGGGGTAGCAGCATGTGCCTGCCTCCTGGGGATGTTTTGGGGATCAGTATGCTAAATACCGTGAGGCACTCTGATACTACCAGAGGGGCAAGAGCACTGAACGGCCATAAAGATCCAGAGAGAGTTGTAAAACTCTAGGGGAAAAAAAAAAAAAAAAAAAAAAAAAAAAAAAAAAAAAAACCCAAACAAACAAACAAAGATCAAAAAAACACCAGTCTATTGGGACACAGTGTTAAATACACCGTCACTCACCCCCAGCGTGGTTTTCCCTTTTCTGCATGCTCTCTTCCATGCATTGCCACTGCTTTTGCAATTCGAGCCTCCAACGTGTACCAAGCGGGACTAACTGCAGCACACGCAAACGTTGCAGTTTGGATCAGGTGTTTTCCTTCCCAGAGCACCGCTGCCTTGGCACTAGAAACCGTGTAAGCGATGTGTTTTGCAAAAATAAATAGATAAAGGGGCAAATGAAAATGTCGTATACATAAATATGCCACAATAAGTTTAGTCTTTGGATCAAAGTGCTCAAAATGACACAGCTTTGAAACAAAAAAGTAGGAATCAAAATTACACAACCCTGTGTATCAGCTCGGATGCCAGCTGTTTAACTGAGGCGTACGTACCGTGGCTGATTAAATGAAAACGTTTTAACAGCTGTCTAAAAAAGGAAAACCCTCTCCTCATCTTCCCCAGGGCTGCCTGGTACCCCAGCCCTGTGGGGTGCCCACGGGAGCGGCCGCTTGGCTCCAGCCCACGTGTGGGGGGGTCACCGGGCACACAGGGCTGCTCTGGGCTCAGCCAAAGGACAAGCAATAAGATCCTTGACGACGTCCAGACCTCACCAGCTCTGGGTGCCATTGATTTGCAAACCTTGTGCTTGGTTTGCTTTTTTACCCGTTGGCTGGCTGGCTCTAACCCAGACTCCTAAACGAGTTAAAAGTAGTGCTGGGTAATTCAGGGGGACAAAGCGGCTCAGCAGGTTGAGGGGAGAGGTGCTGATTTTCATACCCGAGCCAAACGCAACCCGACCTCCCCAGCGGGGAAGAGGCTTTATGGAAGAGATAAAGCTTTAGGTGTGTGGTGGGTGGTCTCTGGTGGCTGCGCCTCTGCCAGTCTGCAGAACCAGCTGGGAACTGTCCTCCAGCCCTGGGGCCAAGCGGCACTGCGTGACTGCTAATCCCCTCCTCTCTTCCCCTCCCTCCCCAAAACTGCGTGGGCACAACCAAACTGCCTGTTTGGAGCAGATACAGTCAGTCCCCAGCCCACGGCCAAGCAATGCTTGGGAGGGTGTTTGTCTGCTCCAGCCAGCATGGCAGAGGCAGAGGCAGAGCCGCCCGTGGCTGGGCTGGTGTCCCCATCCTGCTGCATTTGCTGGTGCGGGCACAGCCAGGAGGTGCTGAGCTGTGACACTAGCCCGAGCGCTGGGGGGGGGGGGGGGGGGGGGCCTGCACAAGGTGGCCTCTCAGGATCCCATCCCCTCAGCTATACTGGGAGGACGGTGATACTCTTTCTTGTAGCTCAGGTGTTGCCACAAGCCCCAGCACTGGTTTTTAGCAGCCTGGGCCACATCGGCCATCATCCCCCCCTCCAAAGACAACCTCCCTGGCTGTGGGAGGTGAGTGCTTGCAACAGATGCTATGCAAAAAAAAAAAAAAAAAAAAAAAAGCAAAGGATGTCACCTTTTGAAATTGTAATGCCTTCCTAACCTGGGCAGAGAGACAAGGGCCGGACACGTCACCCCTCCACTGCCCCCAGCCCGCTGCTGACATCCACCTTGTGCCTGCCGATGGATGGAAGCTGAAACGAAAAGTGGTTTAAATTGCAGCCAGGCGGGAAGGTAACAGGGAGCAGGCAGCCACCCCAGCTGTCACACAAGATCATGGGTCAGTTAGGAAGGGGATGACCCTGCTGGGCCTCCCCCCGCGGCGATGTCCCTTCTCCATGAGGAAGGAAAGGTTTGCAGGCATCTTCGCATAAGGTATTTAAGTAAAAGAAACTTGAGAGAGTGATGTATGAAGGCACCAGGCAAGTCCATTCACAGCCATTTTTAAAGATGCTGCATTTTAAGAATGTACGCTTAAAGAATCTGTATTTCTAAAATGAAGAGCAACCAGGAAAGAAATCTTACAACACAGGATGTAAAAACAATTCCAAAATGTGACACCTTCTGCTTTTCTGGGGGTTTGGGGGTTTGTTTTGTTTTGTTTTTTCCTTAGTGTCTGTTGTGTGTAACTGTGTGTGTGTTTGTGTGCACCTGTGGGATGGAGGCTGTTATTACACTAAGGTTTGTACAAGCCCTCCTCATCCCATTCTTCTTTGGCCCATGGGGCTTCACGTGGCTGCCCGGCGGGCGCTGACAAGCATGTGGCTGCCAGAAGCCCCCTGACAAGAGTTGTAGCCATCACCAGGGTGGGAATGGGACCTGGACACAGCTCACTCACCGCTGCACTTCCACCAGTTCTGCTCACAAAATAAGGCAAATAAACTGAACTGAGTTTCACTTGCTTAAGAGCTGTAACCACTGCTGCCATAAAATGTTGCCATTGTCGTAACATGAGACTTTTTCCGTGGCTTTCCCTCCCCATCTGGCACGGGCTGGCTTGCCCAGCTATGTTTGACACAGTGGTGAATGGCTTTGTTAAATACAAAGCTACCTCCCTGTAAAATGCACCACCCCCCCCCAAAAAAAAAAAATGCATGTTCTCCGTGTTAAGTTTATCCCACCTACTTCCATAGCTTTCCCTCCAAAGTGTTGTGGTGCCGCAGGCAAAAGAAAAGCTGTGGAGGTTTCGAGTGAGCAGGTGGGTAAGAAAGGGCTTTCCACCGTGCAATGAGCCCCCCTCAGACCCAGCAAGCCACGCACGTGTGCCCACACGCAGCCTGAGAGGACTCGATCCCCAAATGCCACCCACGAGGGGACAAGGGGAGCCCGTGCCAGCCGCTGCGCGACATCTCCTGTGTGTGCCCGGTGGCAAAAACTAGGGGCAGTTCTGCAAGTACGACCCAACCTCGGGCCTTCTGGTGGCTCTTTGTGCCTCGTGGTTTTGCCGACCGGGGGCGATGCTTTGGCTCGTCGTCCTGAACGAACTTTTCCGTTGCCCAGAGGCCATCTGGGGCCAGCACAGCGGTGGTGTCTCTAGGGAGGGGGGCTCACGTTGCTGGCCATGACCCTGCGATCTGCAGAAGAGGTGTCCAGCTCTTCGAGACGGGGGGGGGGGGGGGTGGGGGGGTGATTTGTGTCCGGGGTTTGGAGGCTGCAGCGGGGTTCCACGGGCTGCTGATACCTGCACCCGCTCCCCCCGCCCCGGTAGCCCCCTCTGCCCTGGCCCCTGACCCGTTCGCTCGGGGGGAGCAAAGGGGCCTTCCCGGTGCGTGGTGAGAGTCCCCTCGTGCAGGGGGGGGAATTGCCGCCCCCCACCCCCAAAAAAAAAAACGCGGCCCGAGTGCCGCCGGGGCAGCGCGGCCGCCCCTCTCCGTGGCCTCGGGGCGGGCGCTGCGGGGCTCCGCGTCCCTTCGCCGGGGGGGTGGGGGGTGGGGGTGCCGGCCCCGCCGCACGGCTGTCACCGCCGCCTCCTCCCCGTTATTTACATCCGTCTTTAGCAGTCTAATTACCCGCTTTATTGCTTTCGCCCGGGGGAAGCCCGGGGACGGCGGCGCAGGGGAGGACCCTCCCCGTAAGCCCCCGCTGCGCTCCGCACCGCCCGGGGGGACGAGGGACACACACACACACACACACACACACACACACACAGCTCAGCCGGGGGTCCCCCCTCTCCGCCCGATTTTCAGCCGGATTTCGGGCGGGGAGGGGCGGAGCAGGTCGCCTCCGGAGGCGGCCGGGACATCCCCCTATCCCCCCCCGCTCCATCCTCGGGGGTGGGGGGACCGAGGAAGCCCCCCCGGCATTCCCGCGCTGGGGAGGGAGACTTCATGGTGTTGCCCCAACGCGACCTGCACCAACGGAGGGGAAAAATAAAAAAAAAAATAAAAAAAAAAAAACAACAACCACGACAGAATAGATGGATTTTCAGATAAGCAGCGGAGGTAATTTATTGGCCTTTATGCTCTTCCGATGGAGTGGGGGAGAGGCGGCGAGATCGTGTCTGTACCATCATTAAGCGGGTTTACTCCGCCTCAGCCAAAAGGGGCTCCCCCCCGGCCCCGGGATACCCCCGGCCGAGCACGGAGCCGAGCCCCGGGGCCGCCCCCGGCCTGGGCCCGACGCCACGGTGAGGGGCCTCCGCCCCGGGGTGGGGGGGAGGGGAGCCCCAGCCTCTCTCCCCGCTCATCCAGGTTGTCCGCGGCGCATTCGCTCTTCCAAACTCATCTAAATTACATCAATAACAGAGCGCACTCTTTAATGAGCTCTCAACTTTAAAGACTTGAAGGATATTAACAAGCCGCTTGACAAATGGTGCTTAGAAGCACATTAAAGACGCTGCTAATGGAGCGCATAATGACGGCTAATTTTCGATCAGATATAAATTAGAGCCCCAACAGTTATTTGCCTTAAGGACTTTATGTAAATGATCCTGTTCTGTATAAACGGGGAGGCGAGGCGAGGCGAGCCCCGCCGCGCTGATGCTGAGCGGCGCCGGACGGGGCGCGCAGCCCCCAGCCCCGCCCGCCGCGCAAACCCCGCGGAGCTGCGCGGGGCACCGCGCTTGCTCATGCAGCCCCCCCCACACACATACACACCCCCCCTCCCTTTCCTCCGCGCCGAGCAGAGAAGCACCACCCCACCCCCCACACACACACCCTCCCCCAAAAACGCCGCGCCCCACGGGCGCTCGGCGGCCAAGTGGCTTTGCTGGGGGAGGAGGAGCAGGAGGAGGCCGAAGGCTCCGGGAGTGCCCGCCGGGGAGGTCGGTGTCAAACACCCGCGGGGGCCGGGGCCGGGGCAGCAGCGTCCGGGCCGCGCAGCGCTGCTCTGCGCTCCGCGGGCGCGGAGGACCGGGGCCCACGCTGCCGGGGCTGGCAAGCGCCTTTTTTCTTCCTCCCTTGTTTTAGTTTGGGGGTTGTGTTGAGTTTTGGGGCAGGGTTTTGGGTTGTTTTTTTTTTGTTTTTTTTTTTTTTCTTTTTTTTTTTCTTTTTTTTTTTTTTTTTTTTTGGCAACAAGTGCCAGCTGGCGGGCCGGCCCCGGGAAGGCGTAACCCACCCCCAGCCTCAGGGATGCCTCCGGCACGGAGCAGCCGTGGGAGCAGGTCAGCAACGCCCCCGCCGCGGGAAGGGGGTCCCGCGTGCCTGTGGGAACCCGCAGAGTTTTCCTGGGGAACTTTTTTTTTTTTTTGGTGGCTGGTGGGTTGGGTTTCTTTTTCTTTTCTCCCCGCCCTGCTCTCTTGCGGGGTGTCCTCTTCCCTCCCCAAACTACACTTACCTTTGTGGTGCAGGTCCCCCCCCCGCCTCCCGCGCCGCCGGGCTCCGGGCTCGCTCTTGCGGGAGGGCTCTCACCTGCCAAAATATCAAGAACAATAAAGGGAGGAGGGGAGCGTTTTGTGTGTCCCCCCCCGTCCCCCCGACCTCCCCGGACAAGCACATCCCCCCACACCCTCCTCCGAGAGAGAAGTTTTGGAGAAAAAACGGCCACCCCCATCCTTCCCCGCGCCTCCCCCTGCAGCGACCCGCGGGCCGGGGCGCGCTGCCGCCCACCGGGGCGGGGAGGGGCGCGGGAGTTGCGCGGGCGCGGAGGGCCCCGACGGCGACCGTACTCACCCGGGCGGCCCCGGGGCTGCGCCTCCTGCTCCGCGCTCGCCGCCCCGATCCATCGATTTGTTCCTGGAAAAACGCGGCGCGTTCTTATAGCAGCTACCAGCAATTAATATTGCATTAACCCTATAAAAAAAAAAAAAAGGGGGGGGGGGAAGGGAAAAATCCGCGCCCTCTCAAAGCCATCTATTATTAACGCGAGGGTAATTGGAGACTCGAGACGTGGGGCGTGTGCGTGTCGTGGGGCAAGGCAGGCAAACACAGGCGTGACAGTGTGGCGGGAAGGAAGAGGAGCCGAGGGTGGCTAATATTTAATTTCAGGTCTGTGGTTTTCTAATTCGAGATTAAAAGCAGTCACGTCTTTGAAGCCAGACACTTGGTGTAAATGTACAGTTAAAATATTCTATTCCACAGTCCCCAGACAGAGCTCTGCTACTCCCAGGCTTCATTAAATTTTAATTATCATCCCAGACTGGAGCAAGGGAAGAGGGGGGAAGACTGTCCACCTAATTGCAACTGATAAAGGCAAAGAAGCCCAGATCTTTTGCCTCGCCGTGCACGCACAGCAGTTGTTGTTGTTGTTGTTTTAGTGCGGGCAAAGCCCGGCGAGGGCAGCGTGAGCATCTCCACCTATAGATCTGCTGTTTACAAAAGATGCACGTGAAGGAAAGCCGGGAAGTGATGTTATAGCTGGGTATGCGGGGGGGGGGGGGGGAGGGGGGGGGGGGGGAGGGAACGGGACATTAGCTCTTGCAGAGATCTGGCGAAAGATCAGCGGAAGAGACAGGAACCCTCATTAGGGCTCGGCAGCTTTATTGTCTCCCAAAACAAAGCGCGCCCATACCCCGGCCCGGCCCGGCTCTCCCGGAGCCCAGGCGCCTCCACACACACTCACACACACACACACGGGTGTTTCGTGCCCTTTCGTTTGTTCGTAATCTGCGTGCGTGGGACAGGCGGGTACCGGGAGATGCAGCCTAATTGCCGCAGGTTTTTAATTTGGGAAACCAGAGAGCGGTCTATCTCCAGGCAGTAAAAGGTAAAAACTAAAACCCGCCGCGTTTGCTTTCTGAGCAGCTTCCTATTATCACATCGCCACTTAATTTTATTTCCATTCTCTCCAAGTTAAATAGAAAGCCGAGCTCACAGGGGAGCTGCCATGTGCCTACAGAGTGGGGATGTCAAGCAGAGAGACTCACTGTGCAAAGTTAATTTCAATTCCCGAGGAGGATTTCACATTCTCACTCGCTCTGACCCACAGTAATTAGCTGAGATAACTAATGATTACTTACTTATTCCTTGTAATTATCTGGATTTAATAATTCGCTGTGTAATTTATTAATTCGCCCGTAATAGCCTTTAAGTGAATGGCTCATTTAAGAGGGCGAAGCGGCAGTTCGGGGGCTGTTCGCCGGCTGGTGCCTGAGCCTGCTGAGGGTTTGGGGGGGCTCTCTTGCTGCTTCCAGGGCTCCGGGCTGGCCCCTGTCCCCTCGCCCCGACCCGCCGCTTTCCGCCCCTTTTCTGCCCCACCTCGCCTCTCATAACGACCCCCGCACCCGCGGAGGTTGCGCGGCCGCCGAGGAGGGAGGCATTTCCCTGCCTTGGGGGGGGGGGGGGGGGGGGGGTGGGTCTCGGCGGGCGTCCTCAGCCCTGGGGTCACCCGGTCGGCGGGGCGCGCAGGGGCGCGCAGGCTCCGCGCAAGGGCAAGCGCCACCCCTGCCCCAAAAAGCCGCCCTGCCCCTGCAGCCCCGGCAGCGGCTGAGGGAGAAGACCGGCCGCGCTGCGCGCCCGCGGGAGCCCCTGCGCGCCCGCGGGAGCCGCGGACAGGACCGCTGCGGCGGCAATGACGGTAACGGCAGGCGCTGCCGGGGCCGGGGGGGTGACGAGGCGCTGAATACGCGCCCTTCCGCGCCCGCGGGGCCACCGCCCCGGCCGTGCCAGCAGGCCGGCACCCTCGGAGCGCCCGGGCGGCTTTGAAGATGCAGCTGGAGCCGGGCGGAAAAATATGAATATTTAATAGCGGTTCGTGTATGATCTCCCCGACCCGCTCCCCGCCCGCCGCCGTCGGGTTTCCCCGGCTTTTGTGAGCGCCACGCGGGGAATTCACTTATTTCTTTTTTGTTGTTGTTGGTTTGGTTTGGTTTCTTTTTTGTTGTTGTTGTTGTTTGTTTGCGCGTGTGCGTGCGTGGCACTGCCGCGCCGGGAGGCAGAGCGGCTCGGGTAGCGGGGGGCTCGGCGGAGACACCCCCCCCCACACACACACACACCCCACGCACCATCACAGCCACGCACACCATCACCCGCGACCGCCGCGGGGCGGGGCGCAGAACTGGCCGCGGTGCTGCCGCCGGCCGCGCCTGGGGGGGCCGCCCCCCCCACCCCAAACCCCGGAGGGGCCCTCAGCCGGGCGCCTCCACACACACACACCGTGTTGCCGCGGGAGGCGTTGAGGGGGGGGGGACAGGACCCACGCCTCGCCGTGGAGTGTGAGCGAATCCCACGCCCCGGAGGCGGCGTTGAGCTCGGGCAGGGGCTGGCGGTGGAAAACAAGGAGCAGCCAACGCGCTTTGCCAAGAAAACGTTAAAATCCTTTTTTCTTTCTTTTTTAATGAAAGACGATCGAACAACATTTAAAAATAACTTAGTACATTACTGGAATAAATAAACCTCTTATTAACAACGACAAAACAAAAACAAAAACAAAAAAAACAAACACCAAAACAAAACAAAACCCACCAAACCCAAAAACAAAAAAAAAAAAACAAAAAACCCAAACCAAAACAAAAAGAACAAAAACAACGAAATCGGGTCATATACAGAACTTAAGACTTCAAACAGTCTCGGGTAGAACAGCGGTACAGCGGAATCTGTAAGAATATATCTATATGTGCGTCAACGCCAATGAAATATTTACAATACATACAGGTACCCAACCGAGCACCCGCGTTTTATTGTTGTTGTTCCAAACGAAAATGTACCAAACGGTTTGTGAATTTACAAGCAGTGCAGCCTCAGTCGCTCACTCCCTTCCTTTCCTACAAATTTCAATTTGGCTTTTCTACAAACAGACCTCCAAAAGGGACTTTCCTACGTGGAAAAGTATTGCAATTAAAGGTAATAAATAACCGCCCGGCCGACCGAAATAAATAAATAAATAAATAAATAAATAATAAAATAAATAAGCAATCGGATAGACAGATAAATAACCGAGCCGGTCCGAATACCGTCGCGATACAGCTTTGAAATAGAGAAAGATGGATATCGTGCTGGCAAGAAACCCGAAGCGACAACCCACCCCCCCCACCCCCCCCCACGCTGTCACCCACGCGGCCACGTCCTTTCTCGCTTCGGGAGCAGCGTGTGGTGGGGACAATATGGGAATCCCCATTAAATATGTAACGCGGTAAACAAATACCTCGGACAGTGAATCAGGCTACACAAATAATGTAGGACATCTACTATAGGGTGCCGACGCCGTACGAATAAGAATACTCGCCAGAGAAATACCTTGGGTTCAGGTGACAATTTACAGATGGCCAAAAGGGACGTTGAGAAGAAGAAGAGAAAAGCTCACGTTCATAAATCCTACCAACACAAAATATTTGATTCTCACTACCCTTTTTTTTTTTTTTTTTTACTTTTATCAAGACTTAAAGAGGTGTAATTAATTAGAATGAGCACGAAATGAAGTTGCTAGAGAGATAAATTAATAATTTACAAGGGGTTGTTTGGCAGTAATCTAATAATAGCTTTTGAAGACCAGTGAACACAGCAGGATCAGCTCTTTCCCTAAGCGTTATAACTTCAGAGAAGGAAAAGGATAATAACCACAGTAAAAATATATATATATTTATATATTTATAATACGCAGTGTAAATGCAGAAAACCCTGCCATCTGTTTGTTTTTTTTTTTTTTCTTTTTTTAAATCATCATTATTATTATTATTAATCATTATTTAAATCAAAATACTTTTGAGACGTCTCTCGCGGCGCAAGCCTCAACTCTAGATTCAAGTTTGGGTCCCGAGAACACCGTGGCACCGCGGCCACGCGCTGCGAAGGGGGGGGGGGGGGGGGGGGGCACCTTCCGCGCTTGCACCCAGGCGAGAGGTCTGTTAAGAAATAAAAACCAGCGGTACTTGCCGGGGCGGGTCCGGGCGGCGGCTCCGCGGGGCGGTTCCCCCCGAAAGTTGGGTGCGGGGCGGGCTGGGGTGGGGGTGGGTTGGTAGTTGGGTTTTTGTTGTTTGTTTTGTTTTGTTTTGGTTATTGTTTTGTGTTTTTCCCTCGTTTCCTTTTGCCGTTGTTTCATTTGAATTTTTGTTGTTGGTTTTTTTTTTGGTTTTGGTTTTTTTTTTTTTTTTTTGGCGGGGGGGGGCGGGAGCGGGGAGGGGGGGTAACGGCGGCGATGCTGTGGGCTCTCCTCGGCTCAGATGCCGGCCGAGTACTTCATGCGCTTCTGCTTCTGGCGCTGGTTGCAGAACCAGACGCGGACCACGTTCTTCTTGAGGTCCAGCTTCTCGGCGATGGCGGCGATCTTCTCGGAGGAGGGCCGGGGCTGGAGGGCGAAGTAGGCCTCCAGCGAGCGCTTCTCGGGGGCGGCGATGGAGGTCCTCTTGCGCTTCTTCTCCGCACCGCTGAAGAGCTCGGGCTTGGCCAGCTTCTCGCGGTGGGACTTCTCGGCCTCCTCCAGCCAGGCCTGCAGGATGGGCTTGAGGGCGATCATGTTGTTGTGGGAGAGGGTGAGGGACTCGAAGCGGCAGATGGTGCTCTGGCTGAGGGAGCCCACCCCGGGGATCTTCAGGTTGGCCAGCGCCGAGCCCACGTCGGCCTGGGTCACCCCCAGCTTGATGCGGCGCTGCTTGAAGCGCTCGGCGAAGGCCTCCAAGTCGCGGGGGTCGGCGTCCACGTCGCTCATGCAGCCCATGTGGGCCGGCAGCCCGTGGGCGTGGGCCATGCCCAGCGCCGCCGGGTGCATGGGGTTCATGCCGGCCATGTGGGGAGCGTGGCCCGGCGTGGAGACCACGGCGCCGTCGGGGGCGGCCATGGCCCCCAGCGCCAGCCCCGGCGTCA